AAGGAGAAACGGGGGAAAAAACATGCATATAATAAAAGCCAACCGCCAGCAAAAAATGCTAATGAGTCTTGCAACTCCCCTCGCCGCCCGGGGCAACCGTTGTTCCACCCCTCGCAACCGCTTCTTCCCCGAAATCTGCCCTTTGCCAATGGTTTGTGGTCGGCAGTCGGCAGTCAGAGATATAGAAATCGAAAGGGGGTGGGACGACAGTCCCGGCCAAGTCATTTCGTTTCGCTTGATTTTCAACAACTTCCTGGCAACAATATTTAACCTTCCCCTTCCCCTCCTCTCCCCCTCCTTTCTATCACCCCACAGACATGAGTCCGCAGTCCTCGGTCGGCAATTAGCGACAGTTGCAGCGGCGGTACTTCGCTGAGACAGCTGCGGCCAAAACAACAGCAACACAAAGTTCCCAGGCCAAGACACTTCCTTAAACTTCTGGGAAAATAATGCAATTTGATTACACGTATATTAATGCTTCGGAATGTACACCAATTATTTAATAAACACTAGACTTTTTCATTTTTTTGAAATCACTTTTTTTTTTAAACAAATAAGAATGGATTTAATATTACCCCTTTTTACAAACTAAAAATTGTAATCTATTCCATAAACACTTAGGATATGGCTAGGAATTCCTGATATTCTCTGTTGACTTAAATCATTTTTAAGACTCTCGAGGTAAGGAATATTAAACCTAAAAGTTTGGTTAATATTTTCTTTCCAAAGTCTACTTGGATGTCTTTCCCGAATTTGTAGTTCAATATCACTGAGCAGTGGCAACAGACGGTTCCCTCAAATTAAATAACTCATCTACGGAAATTGCGATATTATTCGGAATTATTATTTTTACAGCAGGTGTTGCCACTCTATTCGTATCTTTTTTTCCTCGTCGTCCTTCTCGTATCTTTGCGGTTGTTATTTTTTTTTTTGCTCTCGCTTGGCTGCGTTGGTCGTCCATCTCCACTTGCTCTGTTTCAATTTCTTTTTACGACAATTTGTGTTTGATGGTTTGTCGATTTGGTTGCCCCGGCGTTTGTCATTGCATCGGTTAATTTGAAAACTGTCGACTTTCATTTGTTCACTTCCGGTCCGACCTTCCCCTCCCCCTCCCCCTTCCCCCCTTCCCTTCCCCTCTTTCTCTTTAATGGAGCGTGTCAGCTGGCCAGACCTTGCGAGATAGTTTCGGGAACCGCCCAGAATGGATCGGAGTCTATATGCCTGGATGTCCGGGAGAATCCTTTGGGAACGCGGCAATAAAAATAATACCCAAACCACCCCGGGCATATCCGTTCGATTCGATTTCTGCTTTTTATGCTGAAAAAGCGTAATTAATGCGTTTTCCCTTCACAATTCCCGTTTTGTTTTTCGCTCCTTATTTTCTTTGTTGTTCATTCCTGTTTTTTTTTTCTCGCTGAGCGTGCAAAAACGCAAAAACCAAAAACCCTGAGGGCGGCGGAGGCAGGGCAGGGGGCGTGGCAGTAATGAACAATGCCAAACACACACTCGAAAGCGGGCAGGGGTTGAAAAGGGGGCAAACTTTATCATTAAACATCCAAGAGTTACTTTTATGTTTTATTTCCGCTCGCAAAATGAAAAGCTTAAGGCTTCCCTGCCTTCGCACTTGAGCCGCAATATCGCACTCAAGGGCTTAATACATAAATGGCAAGAAAAAGAGAGATATATGTTCGCAAATAGGGGGGAATCGGAGAATCGGAGAATCGGACCTGGGAAAGGGTAGCAAGATAAATAGATGCAGCTCGACGGCAGCAGCTGCGTGTGGAAATTATCGCTGCCATCGATTTGTTATTGGATCAGAACAGGAAGTAAAAGAGAGAGTCGGGGGCGCACATAAAAAATAGAATTAAATTGTGTTTGCTACACTGAAAGCTATTTGATCGGAGTCCCGAAGTTCAAACTTAACATTGCGTTACTGTTCAATTTTAAGTTACAAACTGAGGTACGTATAGTTTTCGCAAAGAAGATATTAACCTAAACAGAAATATCGACTAACTAAAACTAATATTTAGATTACCCTTAGATACATTTCCCCAATACAATTTAATTCGTGCCCGTCTCATTTTTTGTAAAAAAAACCTTATATTTTCTTAATCTTAAGAAAATATTCAACAAGAGTAAATGAATAACGGAAAATAAATGATATTTTACAATAAATAGGTAATGGAATTTCTATAATCAGTATTAAATGTATTAAAATGTACACAGCTTATTTGGTCATATTTTTTGCTGGGGACCTCGGAGTTTCAGCTCACAATATGAAAGATTTATTTTAACTAAAAACATATTTTTTTTGTTGTGTGCACAATACCAGAGCAGCGCAGTCGACGTCGGCAGCGACTTCGGCCGACAGCCGTCAAAGGCGTTTCAAGGCGTCTCAAGTGGCCGTGCAATGAGTTTTATTCCCATTTTCATTCGATTTCCATTCGTTTCGTTTCCACTCGATGCGATTCGATTCGATTTGGTTCACTTGGGATTGGGGTCTCAGTAAGCCGAGATCCCAGCCCCTCCCCCTTGCCCCTTTTTTAACCCCTTTGCCGCTTGAATGTGCAGCGGGAATGCGAATGAAGCGGATGGATTGAGCGCCAAATTATGCCTGATACATTGGCTATGCTCGAAAATGATAAAAGAAATCCACTTTGGTCATCATCAATGGGAAAAGCAGACAGTGTACTTCATTTAGAATGCACCGAGAGGAATCATGCTTATATAAATGTCTAACATTCTTACAGGCTTATCTAGTTCACCAAATATTAAAGGGTACATTTTCAAATAAATCTTAAAAAACATAATCCAATGTATTCCAGAGCTTTTTTGAATCTTTATGTATTTTCCTTCCCACATCAGCTGAGTCTTTTTTAGAGAAGTTTGATTGGAGATGGCAATCAACCAGACACTTTCCTTATATGCGTTTCGATTATGCAAATTTATATGCCAACTATTAGTGACTCATACCAGTTGAGGTGACTCAAAGATTCGGGGAATCTCTTATTCATCTCGGAGTTTTCAAAGTCCCAGCTGTTTTCCCATTAAAGACTAGAGGCTGGCCTGCACGAAATCTGGTTGGGCAACAATCGAATCCAAAACTCCCAATCTCCATCACACAGACCCACAGACCTGGTGCCCAATCCCTTTAGCTAACCCATCATTAGGCCAGAAAGCCCAGAAATTGGGCTTGGTCATCCGAGCAGCTTGCTAGAAAAATCCTATTGGCCGCATGATTAATGGCTGGAAATGAATTTCCGCAGGAGGTTGGAGCGGCGGGCACCGAAGATACTTGTGTTCCAGAGATTCGTGGACTCGGCATCTCGGATTCAAATGCGGATGCGGGACGAGCGATTCGCAGCCGTATCGCCCGTGTATCTGGCGCACACTTCCTGGAAATCGGGCGGCAGGCGAAATGTATCTGCAGGTAGCCGCTAAGAACCATCATGTGAGGGCCACGGAGTGTGTGCCATAAGCTGGAAATTACTGTAAATCAGCAAATCAGGTCATTAGATACATTAATCTCGACAGCATGGACAATTTATGCTAAATTATAGCGTGCAGGCGAAACGCAAGCGCTGCCAAAAGCATTTCATCCGCAGCCTTAATCCCTTGGATACTTTGGCCAAACGAGCGCACCATCTGCAAGATAGCTCTGTACGTTTGTTTTTTAGGGTGCACGCGGAGAAATTGCCAGTCGAAGCAGGAAGCTATTTCCTAAACTAACTGAATTCAAAACAACTAAATTCAAAAACAAATGTAGTAAATAATTTTTATTTAACTATTCGATTATAAAAAATATTACCCTGTTATCATTACAAAATAATCATATAGATAAACTTTTAATTAATCTTTTTATCTCATATAGTACGCAAAAAATATCAAGTGTTGTCATGTTTTTCTTAGTTCTATAAATAATCCTCATCCAATGGATTAAAGCAGGGGTGCTCAACGCCTATGCACCGAGTGCACTTTTGTTTTTGTAGAGCTCTGTGCTTATGGGTAGTGCGCGCATAAGCACCGTGCATATGGGCTTCGATTTGCATGCGAAACAAAAACAATTTTGCTTGTTTCTTCATTACATCTCTGTCCGTCGTCACGCTTATCTGATCGCAATGTATTTTGTTTTTGTTTTTTCCTCGAGCACATGCACTGAAACTTATCTTTCTGTCTGCGTTGGCTTTTGATTTATTTCGTGGTGGACCATCGAAAGTGTAAGGTTAAATTTTTTGGCGGATCAAAATGTGTGATGAAATAGAGAGCAGTTTTTTTAGCAAAAACTTTAAAGGCGAAGTACAATGTGTAATATGCTTAGTAGTAAATATTTAAAACTTTTTTTTTCTCTCAGTGCACAGCTGCGCCCCAACACAAACGCGCCGCTACATATGTACACGTTTTCTTGTGGATGTGTTAGTAAACGCACTGCCATAAGACGATCTTGAGCACCCCTGGATTAAAGTATTTCACATTGTGAAAAATATATTGGGTTCTCATATATTTTTTGAGTGTGTTGTTGGTGGGCAGGTGCTACCCTTATAGCGAAATGCCAGCGAAATAAGAACGAAAACAATTTGTTTAAATATATTGCGCCCGCATCAGTGGCAACTAAATATGGATGTGTAGCACGAGGAGAAGGGCGGCGAATCAACCCCCATGTGTCAACCGGAGTGGCAGAACTACCTGTCTCACCACCCCCTTCCCTTCACAAGTTGTTTACCCTCAGTTGCACAACAGGGTCTGGCCAGACCTGTTTGGAATTTGGACACGAAATTAACGCATTTCTTATTTGACTAACGACTTGTGATTCCCAGCGATACCCACGAATATTCTGAAACACAATCGTGTGTGGTTGTGTGTTTTGGTTATCCATACACTTGGCGGGTCAGTCATATAGTAAACGTCGAACACAAAAGACGTCTGTGCCAAAAAAGAACGTTTTACGCGCCAAAAACATCATTTCGATTCCGATTACGTAGCATTAGCTTTCGTCAACTATAATGGATGATATTCGTCTCGAAAACCCAGATGCAGAGTTCGATGAAGGAGAAGATCCGCCTACCATTGACGATGATCAAGACGTTGACTATTTGCCTGAGGAAGATGCCTCCGACATCGAACAGGAAGAAATAATCGAGGAAAGTGAGGAGAGTGATGAGAGTGATGAGGAAATTGAAGGCGATGTATTCGACGATCCGGATGACAAAGATTCTTTTTTCTACGGCACCGATGGTACAAAGTGGAGTAAGGATGAGCCTCCTACGGCTGTTCAAATTCGCCAGTACAACACGTTGCGATTTCGCTCCGGTCCCAAGCAACAGCTCTCCGATCCTCGAGAGGTGTTCAAAAAACTGTTCACCCCAAATATTTCACTCATTATCATTTCGGAAACGAATCGTTACGGAGGAGAGGCAGTTCAGTCGTGGAACCAAGCTCATCCAGATTCGAAACGAAAACATTGGGTTGACTTGAGCAGCACCGAGCTTGATGCCTTTGTTGGTATTCTCCTGGCCATGGGTGCCTCGCACAACAATATGCAGAAAGCGTCGGATTTGTGGCGCTCCGACGCGTTGCCCATCTTCCGTTCGGCGATGTCCTACCATCGCTTCCGAGTTTTGACTCGATATATTCGGTTTGATAACGGCCGAACTCGCGAACTTCGAAAGAGAGTCGATAAAGCAGCAGCCATTCGGGATATATGGAAATTGTTGAACGAGAACCTCAAAGACAATTACGATCCGCACGAGAATGTCACCATCGAGGAGCAACTGTTTCCATACCGGGGCAAAACTAAGTTCACTCAGTACATTCCATCAAAGCCGGCGAAGTATGGAATCAAAGTGTGGTGGGCATGTGACTCCAGGACGAGGTATCCCTTGCAGGGAAAACTCTACTGTGGCCGATCAGAGAAAGGGGAGCGAGAGGTTGGTCAGAACGAAAATGTGATGATGCAGTTGGCCAACCGATACCAGAAGAGTGGCCGAACGATAATAGCCGATGACTCCTTTGTCACCTTGGACGGAGCCAAGCGCCTGGCTGCCATTGGACTCGAATTGGTCGGCCCCATTGGATCCAAAAAGCGTTGTATTCCCCCCGAAATGAAGGAGAGCAGCTCTAGACCAGTGCTCTCGTCCGTGTTTGGTTTCCATGGAAACTCTGTTTCCATCTGCAGTTATGTGCCCAGAAAGAACAAGGCGGTCAACTTGCTTTCCACCGTACATTTCTCAAAATTGTGCGTAGGAGAGGCAAGGAAGCCCGAGGCTGTTTTATATTACAATGCGCACAAAGCCGACGCCGATTGCATAGATCAAATGCTAACACATTTCACAACAAAGCGGCCCACAAGTCGGTGGACCTTCGCCTTCTTTTGCAACATCCTGGATGTCATGGCGTTGGCAGCGTTTTGCATTTGCAAGGAAGTGAATGGGCTCAAAAGAGGCGATACAAGACGCAGTTTTTTGACGGCTTTATCGAACTCATTGGTCCTTGCCAACGTCGAAAATCGGATGAATACTCCAAAGATCGTCTCTCAATTCACAACTCGTTTGGCTATAGAATCATTTTTCGGCAAACCAATAAATGTTCCGAAAAATATCGTTGTCAATCAGCCATCTGGAGCAGATACAATCGCAGCGAAGAGAGACTGTCGCCTTTGCCTAAAAGGACTCGATAAACTTCGTCGAAAAACTCGGTTTTTCTGCACCACCTGCAATAATCCTGTCTGCCAACAACACTCTAAAATAGCATATACATGTTTTGCCTGTTTCCAGCCGAAATCATAACTCAGTTTGTATCATATTTCAAAACATATTTTAGCCATTTTTGAAATGATTAAAATTGTTAAATAAAGAAACCAGTTTGTTTTATTTCAGAACGTTGAACCAACTTTGTTTACTGAACCGAATCTATTAAGTTATAAAATTCAGCTCTTAAATAAAAAAACCTCTTATTGCAATTGCTTTGTTATTACCTATAGCAAATATTCTATTGTTTAGGGAAGAAAAACCATAAATTTATTTCGATTAAAATGTGTGATTCTATCATAACAACTATTGACAAAATTCTGCATTCAGTTAGAACTTTGTACTTTCGGTTCAGATGTTTTTTTTTTATAACCATCGCCCAAGGGTTTTCCTTTTTTGTAACCTTTTCTTTTTTGGGATCCTTAGTATCTACACATGCAAACAATATTTTAAAAAAAGTTTGGGAACATGAATGCGTTATCGGAAAGTAACTTTCATCAAGGTTCTCCCTGTTCTTTTCATACACAAGACAGAGAACAGAGTCCAAAGTCATACGATGGCTTTTAACAAAGTGCATATAAATTGTTTACTAATTGGATCCGTGCACTTCCTTTATAAGGGAAGACTTGCTATACACCTTTAATGGTTTTTTTCGCCATTTATCGCTGCCGGCACTTCCAAGTCGACGTATTCTCCCTTTTTTCATTTTATCGCCTCGACGTATAGAATATAGTAATTGTTGTAAAATGCTGGCAGAATTATGTGAGCACCGCCAACTGTCTGGGGAGCCTTTTGAGAGGATCTGCCATTATTCGGAAATTATTTTAAATATATGCGCTGCGAGTGGCTCTAACTCACAGGGGAGCGGCGCTCTGGGCCCTGAATTTGTAGTTTTTGCGAGGTTGGGGTGGGGTGTGGCTGGGATGATGGGGTTTGCAGTCTTATCACGACTGACAAAATCGGTGTGGTATGTGGATTTATGTGAAGTGGATATCGGACGAGCTATTAGAGCATAATAATATATCCATACCAAATATGTTTACTTTGTTATTTGTATTATTAAAGACACCTACGTATAAGCCGACACTTTGGTTGATAGTTTTTTTTCAAGTAAATATTTTTTATTTTTATTAGAAAATAGTTTAATCATCTTGGATCTTTTAATAAAATACTAAAATGATTGTGTTTTTTTTTTTGTATTTGCTTAATCACGGTTGAAATCACGATTCCTACCAAGCACTCCCTAAAATCTTTAAATACCTTCCCTCTGAAACGCATTATTGAAACCTGTATTTCGCTGCGATTTCGATCTTCAATTAAAGCTCCGCCGACAAATTTGAGGATCATTTTGCGCCTGCCCAAAAAGCGAACGGTATACACGGCATTTTTATATGGAATTCCAGAAATTCCCAGAGACATAACTATAATTGCTCGCAAAGTGGTTGGACTGCCATAGGTTTTTGTTTCGCAGTGTTTTGTTTTGTTGTTTGAACCCAAACTTGAACGGCATTCCGGGATCCAGTTCGTCAAAAGTATTTTCAGAGGAATCCGTTTAATGGCGTTTCCAATAAAAAACATAACATGAGAAGCAGGGGGCAGAACTGGAGAACCCATCCTCCTCTCAGAAACGAGAAAAATATAATAAATTCCGAGTCGTATAACTGCAGTTTCTCGACCCCTGGCCAACCCCCCTATCTGGCCGCCTTCTTGGCCATCCCTTCCGGCGAGCGAAGGTCAGGTTAATTATGCATTTGCCAGCTGACGGACAACTGGCGTTGGGGAGGGGGAAATGGCATCTTTTTGGGAGTCAGATGCTCCGCATTCCCGGCAATTAGTTGCATCATTTCGAGCTACGGAAAAGGAGACGATGGAAATAATTGAAATTGTTTATAACTCGATGGGCGATGGGCGATGGGCAATCGAAATCGGATGGGGCAGCGAGACAATGGAAATGAATAATTCCCGAAGGGCTATTAAAAACATACCGAAGGAGCAACTACCAAAAGCGGCAGCCACTCCATGATGAATCACAGGAATGAGGAGGCCAGTTCGCGTTCAGGGAAAATCAAAATGTATACAACACATTATGAGGCAACTATGGATCGCTTCTGCGAAAGCCGCCGCGGCGATACGAAGATACATTTTAAAATGTTAAATTGAAGCTCCGCAGCGCAGCGGTTCGCCAGCAGGAGGGGGAGCGGTACAGTGGAGACTGCCAGTAACCATAAAAAGGTATTTAGCAATTTAGATTCACTCGACGTGCACGCCGTCGCCATCCGAAGTCCACGGGCAACGTGCCTGCCACTCGGATGTTGCTGTTGTGTCTGCTGTTGTTGCTGCTGCTGTTGCTGTTGCTGCTGCTGCCGTAGATGTTGCTGCTGCTGCTGCGGTAGATGTTGTTGCTGCCGCTGCGGTGCTGTTGTTCCTGGCAGAGTATCGCACGCTTCGATCAAGTCGCTGATTGCAGCTGGAGGGGATGCGATCAGTGATGCCCATCTACGAAACGGGGTAACCAAAGTAAAAGACATTAAAAATGTTGAACTAGTGGGGCTATCATTAAATCAATACTTGATAAAGAAAGCCTTAAAATCATTACTTGTTATTTCTTAATCAAAAAAACAATATTTTTTAAAATTATACAAATATTTCTCAGACAGAAAACAAATTATAATTACATGAATAGGTTAGTTATTGCCCTAAGACATTCCATCATCAGTCGTTTGTAAACATATTAATGACTTAAAATTTACCAGGTTTAATCAAATAAATAAAACGCATTTACATATATGGAAAGAAGTTTTGGTTTCAAAAGGGTGGACTTCCACTGATTATTTTATCATCATTGGGAAGTGATAACTAGTTAAAGCGAATGTATCAATGGAGCTTTCTTCTGGCTTTCCCCTTTAAATTTTTTTACTTTTGCAGAAGAAACTTTGCAAAAGGTTCTCTTTATAATTGTACTTATGACGTGGATGCGAAGGTTTTAACCAAGGAAGAATTGTTTATTTCTCGTTTTCGCTTTGACGGGAAAATGGCCGAGTGAGCAGTCCTAATCGCACTAGAGGGGACCCGCGGAGAGGACAAGGATTGTTGGGCTGGAAAAAAATGAATTGCTTAGCGCTTGCCCAAAATGGTCCATGGCATAAATTCCGAATGGGAAACGCATCAATCAACGGCCAGGCTCTCGCACCAAGAGGCTGAGGAACTTCTGAGCTGGTGAGATGGTGAGCTGGTGAGATGGCGAGCTGGTGAGCCGGGCATCCAGCGTTCGTGATGATATTGCCGGGAGATTAGACGGCGACAGCGCAGCAACTCCGGCAATGGCAGCCAAAATTAAATAAGAAAAGATAACAACTAGGCACGGCCAAGAACTCGAGAGCCCGAGAATACGTGGAACCGCAAACAGAACGGCCAGCGGGAAGGGAAGGGGAGGGGAGGTAAGAGGGGTGGGGTGGCAGGAGATCCGGGCCCAGAACAAATAGTCATCGTTGTCATGCCCAAGCGGATTAGCTCGCCTGCCTGCCTGCCTCGTCTTACCTGCGAAACTGGACGTGGACGTGGAAACAGCCGCTCCCCTGAGCCGGGCTAAAAATTTACGATTTTAGCACAGATTGTAAAGTAAATTTTCCTGTTTTTATTTCGAATTAACAAGCGGGCCAGACAAACAGACAAGCCAACTGCAGCAGCGCAAGAGGGGACACACGGAAAGGCTGCCAAGATCGCATCGCCCGCTCGTCAGATACCCTACATACTTTTGTTTAGTACGCAGGAGATGATCAAAATACATGCCTATGAGTAATAGCTGGGATTGGTTGAGCAAAAGCAGGTTTAAAAACATTAATCTTTTGCTATGAATATTTACTAAGCTACTTATTGTATATACATATGCTAAATACGAAAGGACTGAGTTTATATTAATAATGCCACCTAGACATTAGGCCTTTTGGAAGTAAATTGTTGAAATAGTTTGGTTTTAATCATTTCATCAACCTCAATTAACAAATTTTACTTTGTATTTTCATTCCGAACTACAAAACTGTCTAGATGAGCCACATATTCCTTTTAAATGTACCATATCCTGAAAGAATCCCTATCATATTTTATAAAAAACCAAATATTAGACAAAAAGATTGGAACTCACACAAAGAGAGTTCCGAAAAGGTGTTTTTGAGAACCGTGTATACCCCTAACCCCCATCGGGTACCGGGTATAAAAAACGAAAGTTTCGAGCAGACATCGGGGAATAGAAGCGGCGGCAGAACAAAATCTTCTTAAGAAGAAGCCATGCAGCGCAACCGGTCGCACTCGGACACAATCGCCGGGCATAGCGGTTACTTAATAATGCAAACAGGTTTCCCCGGGCTTCACTGTACCAGGCCGACGGGAAAACAGATCGGAGGACTGTGACTTTAACAAGAGAAAGGCAGTTGAGTTATGAATTCGATATGCCAGAAGGGAGAAAAGGAGCCAAGGAACGAAGGAACGAAGGAACGGACAAGGACAGCGATAACACAAAGGAAACAGTAAAAAAGAGACGATGACAGAGATTAGAGGAACAGGAAATGTGGGCTGGACCGATTTAATGAGTGAATGCCAGAAATCCGAAAACTGCAGATCAAAAGAATGGCCCAGGGGAGAACCCGAACCCAGCAGCGCAGAGTGTTATCATAGAACTGCATTTAAATGGAAATTGTACAAAATTATATATTTCAGATATGAAATGCGATATTCAATCGTGGTACTAAGTATAATAATTTAGAGTCTAGCCTACTTTGCACGTAATTACAAGGTGAGATCTGTGAAATATCCAACTATAATATGGAGGAGAGCCAAGATAAAACATTTTCTAAACATTACACTCTTTATAGAACGCAATAAGGGCATTTTTTAGTTCATATTTAATATAGGTTTGGTTTTTTGTTTGGTTTTATTGGGTTTTTATATAATAACAAAACACCTGCAATTGCAAAGGTTTTAGCTTCAAATTCAATCTAAAATCTAGCATTTTTTTTTAGAAAGTTTATTCAGTTTTTGGTTCTGGCTTTGTCCTTTTTTGTATTTTCTGTTCTTTATACTATAAATTAGAAATTATTTATATCTGATATATTCACAAATAACCAAAAGCTTTTTAGATTTATGTAAAAAGTAAAGCTCAAAGAGTTTTGTTGAATATGACTGGATAAAGGGAAAGGGGTATACTTTAAAGAATATAATTTTAAGAACTGTAACTCCAAGTTAGACCACAATGTCTCTTTTATCCAGCAATTCAACGAACCAACTTGAGTAAACCATTATCTGTCTAGAATTTCTAATTTCACTAAATTTTCTGTACAATTACTAGTTTCGGTTGTTATTGTTGTTGGTGCCACTCTTGGCCAATTTCCTGTGCCTGTTTTGGTTCTTCTGTTTTTGCCGTTCGTTGGAGCCATGGGTTCGGCCGCAGAGCGTCTGTTCCTCTAATTCGAGCAGTTTGGTAATTTCCAAATTGGCGGCCCCGTAATCAAACTGTAATGCGGCCGACTCGTCATTAAGCACGCAAGCAGCAACATCACGGCAGCAACATCAAGCCCACGAGCAACAGCAACAGCACGGCGGCAGAAAAAAGAAGAAGAAGCAGCAAATGCAGACACAAGAGCAATAATAAATACACATAGGGAGGCACAAGTGCAACAACTTAGCAGCAACATGAAAGTAGTATCGACAGCAGCAACTTTAAGTCCAAGAGTATCTATAAATTAGCGGAAACAACGGCCTAGCTAGATTTAGTTTTACTAAGTATGAATATTTCCATTTCTGCCTAATGAAGTTAATGTTAAATGTGTTAGCTCGTAGGTTTTTTCATTTTTCGAATTTAAATATGTATGTATGTGTATTTGGCTTAATGTGATAGGCGAAATCATTAGTTTTCATTTGAAAAAACAAAAGCAATAACAAAATGTAAAAATACCAAAGGCAATAGCAATATGAGAGCAGCAGCACCAGACCCCACAGCAATAACAACAACGGCAACAGCAATTTCCAACAAACATATGCTTCGCAATAAAAACAACAAAAAAGTACAATAAACGAGAGGCAGCCAGACAGTCGTCACTCACCCACACACAGGCACACGGACACACCTCCCCAAATAACTGAACAGCTGATTCGTTATCAGCAGCCGCTGAATAAGCCCCAACAGGGAGAGAGAGTACAAAGAGAGAAAGAGGCAGAGAGTACGACTGCGGCTCTCCAGCAGCAACAACAATAAGTGGGGGAAAAAACGACGCCAACGGCGGCTGCTGCTATGGCAACGACCTTCCTTATTTATTACAATGTGTGTAATTTCGTCTGCCTCTGCCGCACTCTCTCTCTCTCTCTCTCACTCACTCGCTCGCGCTCTTGGAATGTGTGTGTGTGTGAAAGAGAGAGAGAGAGGGCCAGAGATAGTGCCCTTTCCCGACTTAAATTGCCCACTTTTTAGTGCAGAAATGTTTAATATCGCTGTCTGTTTGAGTTTTTGTAATTCTTTTTTTGCAGCAGAAAAGTCTCTCAGTGCGCAGTTTAGGTTTTTGTATTCAAAGCCAGGGAGGTTTTTGATAATTTTTGGTGTATTAAAGAACTAGGTGTGTCTTGGTTGCATTAGTAAGTTTTCAGGGATTTTGTATGGAGTTTGCTTTCTTAATTTTAGTTACAACTTTATTACTTTAAAGTTTCAGGATGTTAATTGATAGCATCGTATCTACGAGTATCTAACGCGTTATACTAGGGAACCCCAGCCAAACTGGCTACTCTGATGGATTTATTATATTCCCAGTTTTAGTGCGACTCAATTAGCTCTCAACTCGCCGTTAACCCCTTTAGGCCCCATCTGCTTTTACGAGGCCATAAAGCTGCCCCCAAAAAACGTTTGCCGTAAAAAATTAAAGCAGGGCAGCACTTAAACGGGAAAAAATCGTATTACAAAATAATGCGCGCTCAGTGTCTCTCGCTCTCTCGCAGGCTCTCTGTCTCGCCCAAACAGTTGTAAAGATGGCCGCCGTGTAGTAACATGGCTGAATGTGTACCACACACACACACAGTCGCCGCAGAGAGAGCGGCCATATGCTGCCATTGAATGCAATTGGCTCTCAGCAGGAAAGCAACAATAACAAGGGCCTCCGATGCGCCTGTGTGCGTGCTGAATACGTCACGGAACATCAGCTGTGCCGAACAGCAGGTAGGCGTCGGCAGAAGGGCAGCAGCGCAGCGACAAATCATTCGGGTTCAGTCCGTTATCGTCCGGGTGGCTCTCTCGGCTCTCTCCGGCTCGCTGAGAGAACTTAACCGTTGTCCTACGTTTGGGAGAACGTTGTCCAACTTTAAGGGAAACGTTGACCAACCGATTGGGGAACCGATTGATAAGTTTGTATAACAATCAAACATATCAACCGTAGGATATTGACTAAGGCCGAATCCGTGTTTCCAATAATTATTATAAAACAAATAATTTTGTATAATAATATTAATATAATAAATTGGATTTATTTCAGCAGAGAGTGCAATTTAAAAAAGCAGAATTTCCGGTTAGCCTTGGTAATTGATAAAAAATTATAAAATAATCTTACTTATTGAGATACGACTGGCCATTTTAAGCCCCTTGCACCGCATAGGGGTTAGACAAATGCTGTTTCTCTCGCACTCATTGAAGTGCATTATAACGGACCGACGTACCCGACGAGACCACTTATACATATTTTACCACGATTTGGCCAAGTTGGAAATGAGCTAAGAGCATCCACACACGAAGTCAGTTCGCGATGGAACTTTGAACACAACGGTTTGAACAGATCGAATTTTTCTTCGGAGTGGACGAGACGTTCGGTCGGCAGTTCTATCGCTACATAGAACTACACAGTTTCCTACTCCGCGAACTCACTCCGCGAGAACCGAATGAAAATAGAGAGGAGACGGACAAGGTGGAGCTGAGGAAATCAACGGTTAAGCCAGCGAAAACGGGCTAAAAGACTGAAACACACGTGGATTGTTCACTCACACCCCTCACACGCACCCACACTCACCCAGCAGCTCCAACTGTTCGCTGCATTTATGTAAAACCAAACAAAGACTGATTAAAACGCTAAATATATACAATAAACGTAACGAAACAAAGTTAAACACGCGAACAGCCGCTAAATATTATACGGGTTAAAGCGAATTCCAAAGCAAGCAAACACATATGGATTAAGGTTCCTCCTATCTCAAAAACATAAAAGTAAAAGAATTAAAGTAAAATAACCAACACACACAACACTCACACACTCACGGATTACCTGCAGCGGCAATTTACCGTTAGCCGCTCTTTTTGGATTACCAGTGCCAATAAAAACCACAAAAGTGAATTTTTTCGAAAGTGAAGAAAGCGAAAAACGCCCGCAAAATGCTAAAAATCTAAAACAAAAGTAACAAGCAACCAAAAGCGAATTCTGTGTTATCTAAACGAGAGCAAAAGCTAAAAGAGCCCCGAAAACCAGCAATGACGATGGCCGCCTGTTATGCCAACTACGACATGTCGTCCTTGTCGCACGGCATGTCGGCCCTGTCCGCACTGCAGCAGCAACAGCAGCAGCAGCAGCAACACAGTCAGGCGCAGCAGCAGCACAGTCAGACGCAGCAGCAGCAGCAGCACCATCATCAGCAGCAGCAGCAGCAGCAACACATGTACCACGCTGCAGTGGCTGCTCACCAACAACAGCTGTTGCAGCAACAGCAGCAGCAGCAACATCACCGCCAGCAACAACTCCACCAGCCCGCCAGCAACAGCAGCAACAACTCGCGCCACAGCCACGCGGCGGCGGCCCAAACGCAGGTCGCCGCCGCCGTGGCCAACAGCAGACAACAACAGCAACAACAACAACAGCAGCAGCAGCAACAACAACAGACCGCCAGCAGCAGCAACAGCAGCAACTCGGCGTCCGCTCCATCGCCGCAGAAGGACTACAGCATCCCGCTGCACGTGGACTGCAGCGTGGAGTACGAGCTGCCCAACCAGCCGAAGCCTCCGGCGGGTCAGCGGGTGGAGCCGCTGCTGATGATCCACCCGTGCTACTTCCGCAAGATGGAGTCGCAGCGGCGCAGTCCGTTCGTGAACAACATGCACGCGACGGCGCGGGCGGTGAGCAGCAGTTCGCTGAGCAGTGGAGCGGCCCTGGGCGGTGGTGGAAGCGGTGCGGCGGTGGCCACGGCGCCCAGCAGCAGCGCCGCACGGCGGGGAGCTCGGGCGGCCACCAGCCAACAGCAGCAGCAGCAGCAGCAGCAACAACAGCAACAGCAGCAGCAGCAGCGCTACCAACAGCAGCAGCAGCAACTGCGGCAGCAGCACCAGCAAATGTCGCAGATGTCGCAGCAGGCCCACTATCCCCAGCAGCAGTCTAGTCTGGAGCATGTGCGGCGACAGCAGCAGACGCAGCAGCAACAGCAGCAGCAGCAGCAGCATCAGCAGCAACGTGCCAGCAGCAACCAAAGCCAACGCCAAAGCCAAAGCCAGAGCCACGCGGCCAACTCAGCGGCGGCAGCTGCGGCGGTGCAGGCGCAGGCCTCGATAGCCGCCGCAGCCGCCGGTCAGTGGGACCAGCTGGCCGCGGCGCTGGCCGCCCGCACCGCCCTCACGCCCCACCACATGCTGCATCCCCACAGCCACTACGCGGCCAAGGGGAGCGGCGGCGGTGGGGGCGGGGGAGGCGGAGGCGGCGGCAAGCGGGACGCCATGATCTCCGGCAGCAACTACGGACAGACGGCGGCCGCCGCGAGCAAACTGCAGCAGCAGCAACAGTCGCAGGTGCAGCAGCAGCAGCAGCACTGCCTGCCCCCGCCCCCCTGGGACGCGACGTCCATGCTGATGGACCGGTCGCCGATGGCCACAGTTCCTAGCAATTATCAGGCCGGCCCTGACACCAATCCCATGCGCCTCTACTCGGCCACGCCCACCTCCGGAGCGGCCACGGGCGGTTCGGCGTCGGTGGGCGGCGGTGGCGGCGGTGGGGGCGGGGCGGTCAGCGGTGCGGGGGCGTCGGGAGCGGTGACCACGGCCACGGACAAGCTGAGCGGAAAGTACCGCCAGTACTTGAGGTCGCAGAGGATGCACCCGTACGCGGCGGCCGCCTCGCTGAACTTGGCCGCCGCCGCCGCTGCCGCTGGACAGACGTCGTTCGTGCCGTTCAGCTCGGCGGCTACGGCGGTCTCGGCCACGCCCACATTCCAGCACCTGCCGCAGATCTCCTGCTACAACGTGTGATGCAGCAGCAGCAGCAGCATGCGAGAAGGACAACGGCAACAGCAACAGCGACAGCAGCAGCAGCAGCAGCAGCAGCAACATGCAACTTGCAACACATGAGACAGGCGCCTACCAAGTACGCGTCGATGAAATAGCCGCCTCAAGGAATAACCAATAGATCCTCCTCCCCCTAAACAGTACTATATATACACACCCCCTCAAAGCTTTTAGAATCAAAAGTAATTAACTCTAAACATATTAAGAGATGAAATTCATTCTGTTTAGCTGCTACATGAAATTGTTGTCCGACGGTGAGAAAAGAAGGAAAGGAAACGAGCGATCTTTTTTTCTTTTAGTAATGGTAGTAATTGATAAACGATACAAAAACAAACAACAAAAAAATGCAAACTATTGTAGTGATATTTGTTATAAAATAATTTTAGTAATTAATTTAATTTAAATTAAACAACCAACAAGAAACAAGAAAACAACAAACAAACAACAACAGCAACCGCTCTGTGTAAACCAACAATAACAACGGCAACAAGAACATCCAACCAAACAAAAATTGCTAAAAACTACACATACGCATATTTAATTAAAATCCAACAAAATGTTATAACAACCATTTACTGAAAGAATATGAAAATACGAAAGCAAAAATTATTACCGATCGATGAAGAGAGGAGAGTAAAGCAGAAAAAAGCAACACAAAAAATACGAATAAAAATTATTCAAAATTATGCAACGTAATTTGAAGCGAGATATGCAAAAAATTAAGTAAATTGTGTTTTCAATTTTCAAAGTTAGCGAGTGAGAGCGAGAGAAAAGCATAGTTCAAGTGATTTGGCTGCGGCGAAGAAAAGTTCCTCTTGCCGTCGGCTTTTGTGGCCAACTTTTCGCACTTCCCATCATCGGCTCCCCCTTTTTGCTTTTTGTTCGCCTTAATTTGATTTTCAGCTCCGCTTCGCCCCTCATTTGGCTCCGGCTTTTGGTTTTTTCATCTGCGGTGAGCTGTGATTGATTATTGTCATTGATGGAAGACCTGGCCAGGCTCGGGGTTGGGACCACGTCTGCGCACAGAGGTCCCTCGCTAATGGGAAACTCTGAACCGAGACGAATCTCGAAAATTGCTTGTGTCCGATTTGTGTGTATTCGTGGGGGAACATTTTAAATACGCTTCTCAAGTGTAGCTTGTACCGCCATATTCCGGAAAATAATTGTTAACCGGCAAAAATGTTTTTAACAGTTAACAATTAGTAATTACCAAGAGAATGACGTTTCTTGATAAAACCATTATAGGGGAATTTGAAATATTTTGAAGGCATAAATTATTATTATCCATGAAGTGCGGAGAAACTTGTTCTATTTTTTGTATAATACTTTTTTATTTATGTAATTATAATTTCATAGTTTTGTATTAACTTAAGTTATTTGTGCTGATAACTGTAACAAACTATGATTTGAACAAGAATTGCAGTGTATTTCTACAAAATTGAGAAAAGTTCTTGAAGAGAATATTTTTGTCTGCTTCTGAAGTGAAATAATTCCCATTAAACTCCCCTATTATCCACTTCAAGGCCTTACTGTATCCATATCCAAGCTCAGTAATTTTAACGGTTTTTTTTGTGCTTTCGTCTATCTCTCTGTCTCTATCTCTCTCTATCTCTCCGATTCCCCCACAAAGCAATGCTTACTCCACATAAAGCCTCCGTTAGAAAGCGAGAATTCAGAAATCTGATGCCTTAAAGCTGGAAGTTTGGTTCGGCAGGAAATGCAAGATGTTATCGGCTGAAATTGTTTTAGCTCCACCACAAGGTCCCTCGGGAAAATGTGAATTTTCCATTATTGATTGCAGGCTGAAGCGATTGGCGACGGCTTCATGGGAGTTGCTTACTTCCAGGAAGCAAGTAACTGATTAATTTATGCATAGGCAAGGGTTGTCCGCCGAGGATTCAGTGCCCCAGCCAACGAGTTAATTAAACCGAAAAGAGTTTTCAACTGAAACTGAAACGAACGACATCCGCTGCCCGACGACCAAAAACTGACTCATCCGACATAAACTCAACTGCTTTAGGCTGCCCCAAATAAAAACGAGTCCGAGTCTACGTCCAAGTTGACTTGAATCCACTTATGTATGATTCAACAAGGAAAGGCGACGCAGCCAATTGGAGCACATCGGTACCATAGAAGGAATTGGCCAAAGCCGTCTGGGAAATATATGAATAACACCAGACAACAAATTTATCCATTTCTTTTAAAAACTATTTTTATTCAATAAATCTGTTACCTAAATAAATTAATTTATTATTTTTATGCATTAAGAAAACATCTTCAAGATGTTTGAATTGTGTTTTTTGAACCGAACTCTGGTTCTGAGAAAATGTAATAAGTTAGCGGATCCGTTCCAGATTTCGTTACCTTTCTGCTGCTCGACATCAAAAAGTGGTTTCTTTATTTCTGAACTTCATTCGTTGATAATCTTCTACAAATTCAACCTACAATTTTGTGAAAAGTAGAGCTCTGTTGATCAATCAACACGCGTTGAATAAAGCAATCTCTCCTGGGCCCCAAATCTAAACAAGACACCGCTCGTTTCCTGAATGGTGCTCCAAGACACGATTGCCATCTATTCATCTATTCAATTCATATTAAATTGGTCGTAGATTAGAGACGGAAAAATATTTCAATTGCCGTCGGCGGCGCTCACACAAGTGTAATTAAAATATACTACAGATCGCTTCGCCAGCTGACAGCGTCGGTTGTTTGTTTTCATTTCGTTCGAGCAATCAACTATCAGCTGCTGGGCCATTTGCATGCGGCTGGGTGAGCGATTGCCCCGCTCCCCTCCTTTGGCCCACCTTCCATTTCGACTGCGAGGTCATCGCCATTGTCGTCACTCATCCGCCCCGTTGTCCCGCTGGGCAGGTGCCGCTCCACCCTCCTCCTCCTCCCCTCGTCGATGCCCGTCTGGAACTACTAAGCCGGGCCGGACCGGACTGCACTTTGGATCCGCACTCGCACTCGCATAGTCACATCCGATTTCATTACTGTTCCATGTGTGGGCATCGCAGATAATGTCCAGTCGCTCGAGTGCCGTGCTCGAGTGCTTTCGCCCGCTCTGAAATGAGCCCAGTGATAAGTGGTTGTTTCGAGGGCTGTGTTCGTTTCGAATTTCGTTACTTGGGAAGGGCTGCAGATCGTACGAGGCTGTGCTTCTCACTGGGAAATGATACATATGAAACTAAATTCGTTTTGGATCTTCCAACTAGAGAATACATTATGTTCTGCACCTCCAAGTACTCCTTTTACTTTATAGATCTTTACCAGAATTTGTTCAGCAGAAATGTGTTTTTCGTTGAGATATTAAAAACTTTTAGTATGAAATTGAGAAATCAGGTTTCTGGCTCAAATTGATTCCAAACTGCTGACTGCTAGTCCCAATGCCGCATCCGATTAATCGCCTTATTGAGCTGGATAGGTCAACTAAAAGGTTTTCTCCTCTAATTGACTTTATTTAGACGTTGTTTTTCGAGTCGAGTGGAGAGCAGCTGCCATTTAAAAGTCATCAACAGATAAATAAACCCAATAATGGCCGGCAGAGCAAACAAAAAGCCAAGTAAAACAAAAACCGAGAGCCAAAAGCCGAAAACCGAAATCCGAAAACTGAAAACGGAAAACTGAAAAGCCGGCGGAGGAAAAGCATGCAAATAAAAGGCGGTCGAAAACAGAGACACCCAGATGCAAGAGCTGGTTATTTTTAAACAAAAGTCGGGAGTGCTCTCGCAAAAGTAACGAAAACTGTTCAAATCGCATTAAACATAGTCCGCGTTGGGGATAAAAAGCGGAAAAAAGAGTAACACAACGCCAAGTGGAAACGGCGACGGCGGTTGTCAAGCGCCAAAAAATAAACACTGAAATGCGGGCCGCAAAAACACAAACTGAAACTGAAACAGAAACACTGCCTCGGAAGCTGTCTGACCAAACATTGTCTGTGGGGGCGGCCGGTGGGCGTGGCAGGGGCTAAGTGGCAGCCCCGAAGGAGGAGCGGCAAGAGCGGAGGACACTCGCATTGAGGCTGGTCATAAAGCCGATATTTACGAGGCGGAGGAGACTCCACTCCCAGACCTCGGACTTCAGACAGCGGCTACCTCCGATTTGAGAGCTAGGCAACCGGTTTTGTCGTCATCGCGTTTTTTCAGCCTCTTCGTTTTGCTCACTTTTTGGGTCAACTTCAATCTGCTGGCAAGCGGCGGGCTACATCACTTCTGACATAATTAAAACATTTTCAGCGGGCAGAAAAATAAAAAAAAATAAAACGGAAAGAGGAGAAAAAGTAAAAAATGAATTTAAATATTTTCTAGGCTTTCGGCCATTATTAAGCCAGTTTCCCAGCCTCCTCGCCCTTCCCCTCCCCCTTCCTGAGTGCTAAGGCCATAAATTAAGTATAAAAGTAAATAAACATTCATGCCAAATGATAAGACGCCGGGGGAGAAAGAGACGCCAGTCCGCGAGCGACAGTTTTAATAAGCTTTAATTAAAAAATATAACAGATCAGATAAAAGCGAATGCCAATATATGTATTAAATTGTCAGGCGGTAGCTGTAACTAATTAGCATAATTTATATGCACGAATGCGCAGCGCCGAATGAGATAGACGGCGGGATTTGAGCAGCGGCTTTAAATAAATTAAAAAATAAATTATTAATTAAAAAGGCAAATTAATGGCACTTAATTGACCTCACTCTCTCCACTTCTCTCCACGAGCGCAAGATTATGAGCCAAAAATAAATTAATAATTCGTGTTATTATACATATGCAAATGCCAAGCCCAAAAACAGCTTACCAAACTAAAAACAATTAAGCTCCCCAAATGGGAATTTCGATTTTTTTTTTTTCGTCCCCGCTTAGTTAGTGGATTTTAGCTGAATTGCTGTGACTCAGCGAACGAGATGATGTCAAAAGCGATTTCTCATTGATTTCTAATTCCCAACTACAGTGGGAACTCGCTCGGCCGCCTTGAATTCAAAAAGTCCAGCTTAACCCCGTCCACTTTTGCGTAATGGGGAAAACTTTTGGCTGGCCCAGAAGGTGTTAACGAAGTCATTGCTGAGCCAAAGTCAAATCACTTAGCCGCCTTTCAATGGGGCAAGAGAGCAGAAGGAGACAGCTAGAAATAGAGAGGGAAGGTCAAACGCTTTCAAAAGGCCTACGAAACACATAAAAAACCAACTTGAACTACAAACTTTAGACTTGGCCTAGCAACAAACAAACATGACAACGTGTAAAACTAGTTAGCAAGCGCAAAATATCTAAAAATAAAACACAAAAAAAAAAAAAAACACTCACACTCAAAAACAATTGAAAAGCATTAACGCTTACAGCTGCTTAAGTGCGGTGGCACTGGGGTACAGTGCGTTTCAAGGCGATAGGGAAGCTTTGCTACCAGCCATTGCTTAATGGTTCAAGGGAAGTGGTTATTTTTTGAAACATTCAAAACGCATTAAAGGGATTCTTTATTACCTGATAATCTGGATACCCAAACTTGTTTTGTACTCTAGGAGAAACAATTCCTGATAAAGCTCTCATTAAGAAAACGCAAGCTTATTTAATCATTCAACTCGGAAGGTCAAACCCTTTTTTTAAATACATTTTGTTAAACTTTTTCCGAAGCGCACTGTATTGGTCTTTGCTTTCATGCTCCAGTTTCGCGGAGAAATATGAGGCATAAAAGCCAAAGATGTAGAAAACTATTAGGTAAAACCTACTCGAAAAACAATGTAACAAGCATTATATCTAAGATGGCAAGCCAAATGTTTTGGGGGTAATGCAAACAAACTTCGATGAGATGTGTACATATACCAGGGGTGCAGTTCAGAGGAAAAGCAATTCAGACGTGTCTGCGCTCAGCTGGGAAATTAAACTCCACTCGAAACTGGGTCTCAGCCGAAGACACGAACGAACATAAGTATATGGCAAACGAGCAGCCATCACACACATACGAACACAAACACAAACACAAGTATATATTTAACTAAACTAAGTACATAAACTTGCATTAGCCAACCGTATTGTGACTTACAACAAACAAAATCAGCCAGCGAAATAAGCAAAATTAGCCAGCTAAACAAATTGATATAGACGATCTATATAGCATAGAAACCAATTACGCCTGTGCCGCAGCGCAACCACTATCTAGGCCATCAGCAAATTAAATATATATACCGAATTAAATATGCAATCCATCCGATATTGGTGGGGGATTGGCTAGCCGTAGCTGCATATGAGCACTAAATCGGATTACTTATTAATGTGAAACGAAAACAGTTTTCAGCGGAACTTATCGAGCGTGAAAAGTGCTGGCCAGATATAAATCTATATTTTCAGCGAAACCAAGAACTACTTATTCTGCTGTGAACACATTAACAATTAAGCATTTCCTAATTTGCTGGAAATCCTCGTTTTCCGCACAGCATTTCCGTTGCTTTTAAGAAGGCCGCTGAATGTGGTTAGCATAGGATATAATCTGCCCAAACTGCCAAGACAACGATATCTGTTCGTTCTAGAGACCTCAAAAAGCCAAGCGAATTTCAGCAAGACCTACTGAAGTGCTGAAATGCTGTCGGGAATTTATTAAATTAGAGAACAATTTTGTGGCATTATGATCGGACTTAAATTGTTTCAATTTTCGCTTTGCGTGTGTAGATATTTAATGAGCAATTATTATTATTGTTTCCCGGCATGTATCATATATATGTGTATTTCAATGTGATAGTAGTTTTATTCATAATTATTGTGCATCGTACTTTGAATAATGTATGAAGGCGAACTAACATTTTTTTTGCACATACGCTAGCCGAACATTTGCATTAATTATGGTATTTTTTGTAGGGCCACCAACACAAGCAACTCACATAGTCTCTAATGGATATTAACATTTCAGTTCCGATTGAAGCCAAACAACTTTCATGTAAATTATTTAGAGTCCCTAACAAATGGAAACCCCGAAAAAAAAACCAACAACATATAAATATGATTATTTCGTAAATATAACGATGTAAAGCGGTAGAAACGGAATAAATTTGTAGCATATTATGGATATAAAGGAATTATAATACTACTGGGCTGCATGCGTAAGAAAAAACCCAAAGAACAACTGAACCGAACACAATAAAAATGCAAATTAATTGAATATTAATTTGAGCAACTTGAATAAAGTCAAATGAGTTTTGCTGGCCCAGGGGGTTCGTAATTGCGATCAGGGGACTTCGCCCAGGTACTTCCCCTCCCCCTCCCATTTTTTGGGTTGCACAAAACACGGAGATTGTCTCTGTCGGTTGCATGAAATATCAGCTCACGTATTTGTCATTGTTCCGCAGCCCTCTTCCCCACCCTCCCCCTCCCCTTTGAGTATTTGTGCCACACTATCAGCGCTCACGGGGCTCATGTTTCCACTGTGGATTTCCAGGGCTCATAATTCAAGCGGAGCGGACCGAACTCAACACTGCACCGAAGTGCTTTTCACAATCCACAATCCGGACCCAGATGACGGAGCCCCAAAGTGCCCCCGGAAAACAGAGCCCGGTCCAAAAAACATACGTCAATTGGTCTCCGGCGGGGCAATTAAAATCGCTTTAAAAAATAATTCAAAATAACCTGCTACGCCCACGAATCGCATTTAACCAATGTATATGTGCGAGTGGAAAATAATTAAAATATTTCGAATAGTTGTGCGTGGCGCGTCTTTTAATGAGCCAGCCAGCTGAAAACGTTTTTCCTTGAATTTTTCATTGAATTTCCGACGAATAAATGAGTCCGTCGGAACGAAACGAAACGAAACCAAAGCAAACAAATAATAAACAAATGAATCCCATTCGAATTGGAAACGAGCATCGGGAATTAAATGAAACAAAGTGCAAAAGTTAAATAAATTATAATTTATGTTTATTGAGCGATGTGTCAGTCGATTTTTGTGTCTTTTTATGGCCTCCGCAACAACAAAAGTATCTGTATCTGTTTCTGTATCTGCTTGTGTTTGTGTTGCTGTAACTTTGTCCGTGAGGTTGAGGCATTTATGACTTGTCATATACATATTTGCTTTTTTTGGGGCCACGATGTGTCCGTGTAGGAAGCCATAAATTGTGGCATATACTTAGAGATACTTTCCCACATGTGTGTAGCTCGTAGCGTGTAGCTTGTAGTTTGCATCTGTATCTGCTGGCTGTGCCGCATCTGAATCTCCGGCTGTATCTGATATCTGCCGTCTGCCCCCCGCTAGCTGCGCTGCATTTGCTTGCCGGCTCATTGTTTTGCCATTGACAATAGTCGAATGCGAGGAAACCCTAGGCCTCAGATGAGTAATGATTGCAGGCTAGGCATTCCACCTAATGGTCCCCCTCTCCCTTCTCCATTCTCCTTTTTCCGACTGCCTGAGTGGATGACTGCCTGCGGGCAGCTTAGAGACCTGGAAGCCAGCAGATCCCAACCGAGACGAGCGATCCAGTCCGCATCCCAAACAGCACGGCCCATCCCCGGAGTTGAGTCGCCTGTTGTGTCAAGGATGCACTGGAAAAAACCTACTATGGTAGTTCATTTTTTGTTCCTAATTTATTCCATCTGTTTTATGCGTTTATTGCAAGTTTCACCAAAAACTATTCACTAGTTTTGTATTTATTAAATCAAACCGGTTAGAAACCCCTCTCACACATTAATAGAATTAAACAAGGCAGAATAAATATGTATAAAAAATAACTTTGAATGCTTATACCAATTTTAAGTTGCTTGTTTTTATTTGATTTGAAGTAATACTCATATATGTAAGTACAAAAACAATTTAAAGTGTCATCTCAGCAGTTGACGTTGGCACGATACAGAAAGAAAACAGCGCAGGGCTTAGAGGAAAATCCCAGCCATATTTTTTCTCTGTGCCGAAATACAAAAAGAGCACCCAGTGCACGGACAATCGGTTGTATCTACGAGATACGATTTTCCGTGCGTTGGCCAGGCTCACTCACACCAAATTATACACATCGAGAGATTTATTACACGGCGACTGAATGGGCGACCCGTCAAATGAGTTTTTCAGCGTAATTACCGCGCGTCACAAAAATGTTTATATGGCCAAATTCGAATGGTAAAAAAATGGGAAAACGAAATAAAATTAAGCGCACTCGCGCAGACAGCGGACCATGTGGGCACAAGTATTATTATTATTATTATATGGCTTTTATGGCCGCATGAAGTCTCAGTTTTTGTTGCGTTGTTTCTGATTATCATTGCGATAAAGCGGCCGGGGGAAATGGCACAAACATATAGTATATCTGGCAGAAGTATCTGTGGGGTCCGTCCTCTTCCTCGTGACTCCGCCCTTGTTTGCAATGTTAATTGCACTTTGGCAACGTTAATCATTTATGAATGGTTTCCCGACCAACGAAAATACCGAAAATAACAATAACGACGGCGACCGAAGAAATAAGCCCCCTAATGACTCCAAAAGGCGAGGAGAGACAGACAGAAGTTAGATAGATTGCCGGCAAACAGAACATAATGAGATACGCGTTAATTGTTTATGCGTTAATTAAGATTTCTTTCGAGCGGATGGAACTGACGAATGCGTAACGCTTCGCAGCGCCGGATTCTCGTAATTAGGGATCGGGGAGCTCTGCCGAATCGATGGCTGATTGAACGGACAAGGCCCCAGATGTCGGCCAGGTATGGCATACATCTAACCCGAATCCACGATCCAGATATCGCGGACCCATCTCACTTCTTTCACAAACTTTCCCATCCCATGCTGATAATCCGCTTTTAATGATTTTAATTTATTGAAGACAGCCATTATAACATGATTTATACGCATTCTCGATTCCCGCGCATAAATTCAGATCCAAGAAATTTTGTGTCAACAATTTTTATGGCAATTCTCAGTCATTGACTGCCGCTTTTTATGGCTGCCTTAGAAATGAGTCGTCCATGCCAGAATTCCTAGTAAGTATTTTTTATTAGTGGAAAAATATGTGATGGCAATTTAAGTCTCCGTAAGTATATACATATGTGAATATTGTGTCCCAATAAATCGTGTTATTTGTATGGTAAAAAAAAATTATTCAAAAACAAATTATTTGAAACTGATTGATTTTCCACCTTAATTTCTGGCTGATGGAATGGGTACACAAGTCTACCCGATAAATAATTCCAACTAATCATCACCTAGCTTTCTGCGCCATTCTATAACCCGATATTCCAGTCGAAGAATCAGGCCCGGCTCGATTTCCGATGCAAGCGGGATGGAAAAATAAGAAACGTTAATCAAATCAAGTTCGTTCGGCGTCAACAATTACAACACGATCCGGAGAGCGATTCCGATGGCTATCGGATTAGCATCATCTTGTCACGATTCCCGGACCGCGGACCGCGGTTCGATTCGCTCGAATGCAAAACTCACACTTCCAACTCGGATCGGATCCCCGGTTCCAGTTCGGAGCTATAGCCTATAGCCAATTTCGTGTCAAATGCGGCCATGTGTCATTATTCGTGTGTGTTTGCGTTGGCTTTAATGGAACGTGTTTTTCTTGTAATCGTTAATCTGGCATTTGCACTTAATTAAAAACATTTTAGCTATTATTAGCGGCGTTTGTTTCCATTACCGCTCCGCCTCGCTGGAATTCGTATTCGTATTCGTATTCGTATTCGTACTTTAGTATTATGGACCTGCGTGACTTGGCTTCGTTGGTTCTCCAGGCTCTGTTTTCGATATCCCGGCCCGTCTCGTGATTTTCCAGTTTGGCATGTCCGTCCGTCCGTCCGTGTGGCGGCTGCAATTCGTTCGGGGCTTTTATTTGAGTTGTTATTTCGAGAACTCGTTAATATCAATTTGCCTGAAATCGTTAATTGATTTTGCAATGAACAAATATTACGCCATTCCCCATTCCCCAGGCCTCTGATATTGATGTTTTTCGCATCGCCTTAGTGCGGAATTTCTGTGTGAATATGCAAATATTGCCCGTTTCATTTCGGGCCAATTAATGCGCTTACTTAATTATTTTCCGAGCTTTTATCGCTCCTGGCCGACTTTCTCGAAATCGAAATCAGCGAAATCGCTCACGTCTCTGGATCAGTTGGGATCGCCTAAGTGCGTTAATAAAATCGCGTGACGTTCAATCAGCACTCCCGAGACTTTGGAGCCCCGTCTAATGAGCTCGGCCAACACTTGGCACCCGAAAACTAATAAATAACCCGGCATTAGCACACACGTCACACGAAAAATGTGCGGAGCGAATGAATTCATAAACAAATATTTGCCTGCACTGCAAGAAAGCGCCGCAGCTGGATTTGGCTTATCTGGCCGATAGCCAGAGGGCACGTGAATCGCTATCGACATTATAGTGGTCATTGACGTGACCGACCACATGCAAAGATGGGTGCGAAGGAATGCCGCGATCGGGGAACCTTGTGACACGATTGCCGAGCGATTTGTTCTCCGGAACACCAGATTCTGATAGTGTATCTTTCTGGCCAACTCGCTCCCCGGTCACGTACTGCAATTCGGATTCGCGTGACGTGGGGTGTGGGTGGTGTTCATTTGACACGAAGTTTCGTCGTTCCCATGCCAAAGTGTTTTCATAATTTACAGAATATTAGAGGTGTTATTTTCGGGGAGTATTTTATAAGTGCTCTTTGCAATTAAGCGCAATGTTCCACTGCCTAGAATTTTATTTTGTAAATTTATCTGTTTGTATATTTTGGAACAAGAACTCGTTCTCGTAATTGACATTTTTCCATTTTTGTACTCAATACATTTTTTTATTACCTATATTATTGCAGCTTCATTAAATAAATAAAACATAAAGCAGCAAACTTTTATTTGACCGATACAAAATGCATCCAACTTAATATCAGCGTTGATTGAAGTATTGAAATCGCGCTTGGAACAAATTAGAGCCAATTAAAATGTTAATATAGTAAAATAGTCCGCCTTAAACTACTGCAATTCATTTACATTTTCCGCAGTGCCCCTGAGAATTTCCAAAGACCGAAAAAGTGATTAAGTAATCGCTGGTGAACCTTGTTTAATCACGGCCATTAATCTAGACATACGTAGGTGTTTTAATCGATTCGAGATTTTTATTACAGCTAATTGCATTTAATGGGAGTATAAAGTCGACAAGGCATACGTAGTCGAGCTTTGATACTCAATACAGTAGGTTCAGACCCTCAACCAACCCATTGTTTCATGCCTCAAAAGCAGTAGTCTCAAAAAGAATGCTGGCTCTACGCAGTCATTGTTTCACCAGATATAGACACCAGTTTCTCTGGCTCGAATATATATCGCATTCGAAACTTATTACATCAAATTAAGACTGCTATTTTCTAAAGAATTAGCCCATTGTGTCTGCGCCTGTGTCTGTGGGGTCTATATAATTAAATTATGAATGCTTTATGTGGCAAGTTTATTGTTCGTTCGCCTTTATAGCGCGCCTCGCATAAAAAAGGGGCTTTGTTTTGTTTGTTCTTGAACGGATCGGAGCCCTCACACCCCTCACCCCCTCGCAGCTTAAACTGGTTTGGGCAACTGCGAAAACACACAAATTTTAGACTTAATTCCGAAATGAATGAATCCAATCTATACTCGTACGCACACACAACAATCGCGCTCTAATGAATGCCAATGAACAAGGAGATAAAAATATTTTTAGGCACTGCAATGTCTCGGTAAAAAGCGAAAAAAAAACACATAATACGACCATAAAAATGATACGTTGAACTGAGGCCGCCGCGCCAGCAAACGAATCGAGTACATAAATAATTTATTAAATTACAAAAACGTTTTCTGAATTACCCGGTGCGGTGCGGGCCCCGTCGGTTTTGGCCATTCTGCCTTAAATTATGGCCCCATTGTGCGCCTCCAGTTATACAAACCCCTGATTACATTTATGTGTGCCGTAGCTTGGGGTTTTTTTTGCGTATTTTCGGTGAGCAGGCGATAATCGGCAAAAGTTTCCGTCGCATTTCGCCTGGTAATCTAATTTACGGCGTTTTTCCAACGACTAATTGCAATTTCCGCCCAGCCTCGAAAAAGAGCCAGTGCAATCAAACTACGCACGGAGCGCGGAGCGTAAACAAATCTACGTGTAATGCAAATTCCCGGGAAACATCGAGGGTCCGAGCCAGCCAGCTTTCCTGGCCGAGTGGATGGATGACTTGAGTGACTGGGCTAAGGCTGACTTGGGTCTTTTGATATGCTAATTTGACCCGCAAACGTTTGTTTTAATTAAGTTCCCCAGTTGTCGCCGGCGTGCCCAGGCATGGTATACTCTATACTATGCAAAGAAATCCACTCAGACACTCAGACTCTGAGGCGGACCGAAGTACCTCGGCCGCACTTCGATTTGAATTTAGAATTTAGAGTAATTTTACAGCCGGGGGTTAATGTATGCAAAATCATAATCATTAATAAAAACCATTTAATGTGGTCTTCTGCGAAGTCGGGACTTTTCGGTTTGCCCACTTCGAGTTGGCAATAATGACTGCGCAATGGAGTTGGCCTCACCAAAACGGAGTAGGCTTTAAGGAGGCGATTTTAATTACCCGATGAGTTTCGAATGCGGCCGTGAATCACTTTGGGTTTCTTGCGCAACCCTTTTCTGATAATCCAATTAGTACTGCTATTAGGGCTAGCCCCAATTCATAGTAATCAGAAACGGAAATGAAATATAAAATACCACATTCTTCCTCAATTCCAAGTGGAAATCTACATATACGACTTGACAAACCATAAGAATATGAAATTAAAATTATGAATCATAGAGTTTTTCCTACCCGAATCCCTCTACAGTTTGTTTGTTAACTTTAATAGGTTCTAAAGAGGTTACTTAACTTGAAGCATAAAAGCAAAAACACCTCTTCGGGTATGGGTATTTTAATGCTTTATGATCCCCGTTTTACTATCAGCTGATTCCCAGGTATTTTGCATCGCAACGAGTTCCCGCGGTGTTAAAGGGGCTTCGCCTTCTTTCATTTGGAAATCGAAAGAGCTGACATCGAGGGCCGCCCGATTTCGATTCCGAAGCAACTGACCACCTGACCATTCTGCGGGGACTTGAGATATTCCTGGAACAGAGCTCCACTTGTCGGCCACGTAGCGTGGTTATGGCCATCGTTTGTTGTTGCTCTTTAATTGATTTGCCACCCAATGAGCGGCTCGCAATTAACCCTCGGCGGCCCCAAAGGCCACTTCAAAGGTCCACCGTCCGCCGGGTGATTAAGCACAAAGGCTGGCCCGTTCCCCACTGCCCTCCCCCCTGGTTACGATTTCCCGATTTGGGTATGGACTGAGACCCCCGAGTCGATAGCGATATCATCGTGATCGGCAACTTGGCTGCAGGCGACTTTGTTGCAGCGAGCAGCCGGGCAGATTGAGATCTCGCTCTATTGGCGATTATATTTATTCCCGACTAATTAAAGGCAGTGGGGAAGTATGGAGTCCATAAATTAGACGGGGCATTCCTGGGTGCCCGAGCACCGGACTCCGGCGATAAGACGCATATACCTGCCCACACGGGGCGCGTTCGCAATCTGATCGTGAGCTGTCCCATAAATCTAGGCATTACCAGGCCAAGCAAAAACAGTAAAAACCGAAATCCGTCTGACGCGGGACAAGCAAATACAATTAAGTCTGCCCCGTCAGCTCGTAAATCTGGTACACCCCCACCGACCACGCCCCCCAATTCGCCACTCCGCCCAGCCTCCCATCCGCCGAACGTAAATGTAATTTTGAAAACCGCCTCGCCTCGCCCGCCTGTCGGAATTATCGGGCCAAAAGTATCTTAATTAATTACTGATTACAGGGGAAATATATATTCAAAGCAATGAGAATCATGATTGAAAGGTAGTTTTAAAGTTGCGACAAACTAAATACCCCTAGATACCCAAACTATATCTAGACCCCTTTAATCCCTTTTATTAACGATTGAAATACTTAATTGGGAAAGAGTTTGTTAAAATAAATAAATTAATTAAAATTAAAATTAAAATATATAAACTATTATATACATTCTAAGTCCCCAACATTTTCTAAGTTATAAATAATGTATATAAAAAAGAAGTATGAAGACTGTATGTTTGGAGCCTTTACTTTTAACCATAGAACTTATTATCATGGTTCTATTTTCCGTTGTATAAGGGTTCTTATATGCAGTATTTAAGCTACGGGTTATATTACGAATAGTGCCAAGTACCCCCCATAAAGGAAGGGTATCGAAAGTGCCACTATCTGGAACTGCTGACGCAGCCGTCTAGGTGAATGGCGACATAGTCGAGTGGCTCGCTATATCGGTCAAAAGCCGCAATTGCGCTTAGGTGTGATTAAGCAGAGGAACTTGCCCCGCCCCCGCCCCCGATAGCCGCCCCCAGCTCATTTATTATTGTGGCTAGTAGAAGCGAAGCGTTTCCAGTCCGCTTATCGCTGCTTTTCGCTTTGTGGGCTTTTTAACTCATTTATTTTACTTAGCAGCGACAGCATTTC